AAAAAAAAAAATGCATTTTAAATCCAGCCTTGAGCAATTTAAGTTTCTTCATAGAAGACATTTACCATCAACTCAGGTGGACTTTGGAAGTCTTAACTTTTGCTCCTACTCTTGACTGGCTTTCTGGCCACCCTGTACATGTGTATGTGTAAATATATATACACACTTACATAAAATGGTCAAGCAAAGAACCTGTTCTAAATCTTCTCTGCAATCTACAAAATCTCTTTGTCTCGGTCAGTTCCCTTTTCAGGATTTTTGAAACACTCAGGCAGAGCTCTTTCTCCACCTTTTTTTTTTTTTTTTTTTTGGTACTGAAATACCCACAAGTACATAGTGAAGTAATTACATTTGAGTGGTATAAGTGGAGGCCCTTCCTTTCTTAATTGGCCAACAAAATCAGACTCCACCTGTAACATAATGTATAATTATACCATTATTTAATGTATAATTCATTTGGACTAAAATCAGCATGATTCACTTTCTGTAAGATCATATTCTGAAGTCATTTTCTGTTTTGCCAGAGAAAAGGGGGCAATTTAGATCGACAGAGTTTCCAACTGGAAGGATTCAGATAGACTAACTCTGACTGTGGATAAGGAAATTAGGTACCACTTGCCAGATGTTAGACCCCTGGAGTCTGAGCTGGTGGTATCTGATAGCCTCCACCATCCAACTTTGCACCGTCCCATCGACTTGACCACTGAAAACTGGGAAGCAGCTTAAGTTTCTTCAAAGAAGACATTTACCGTCAACTGGGGTGGATTTTGGAAGTCTTAACTTTTGCTCCTAGTAGGATTGGCTTTGGACTTGATCCAACCTCTACGGAACTTCTGGAACCTGTCTCTGTTTAGCCACCGGAGCTAATTAGTGGCGGCGCCCATACTTTTGGAAATGAAGCAAATGCTTATATTTTGGAGAGTCAGTGAGAGGATCAGTCGTGTGTGTCTGTCCTTTGTCCCTGGCCTTATTCTCCTATTTCCCCCACTTAATCCCCTGTTGTGTGTGGATGTGTGGTGGGGGGGGCGGGTACTGGGAGCAGCAATGTTTTATTATCCACATTTTGCAGAAAGGTAAACTGAGATTCAAAAACGTTAAGTCATGGGCTCCAGGTCACACAACTCGCTAATAGCCAACCACAAAGGAAAGCCTAGGAAATCCATTGTTCGTTTTTCCTTACTCCGCTTTTTGCCTCTCATTAGTATTTAATCCAGCAAAAGGATAAACCATTTCTTGAAAACAGATAAATTCAGCACTGTCAACTCAGTGAAAAAACCAGAGGCCTTTGGAATTATTATA